AAAGTGATACTCGTGAGGAGTGTGCCTCTTAGCTCAAGCAGATACAAGAGACTAAACGGGCAGCTTCTGTCCGGAGGTGAGATGGGAAGGCAGAGGGTTAGAAACTGGTTGAATGGACGTGGGGAATCAGAAGTGGAAAGGAGGAGTGTGCTGTCACAGTATGGGGAGAGCAATTACAATCACATAACAATGTATGTATAAATTTTTGTATGGAAAAAAAAGTTAAAAAAAAATCCACCCCTTCTGTGTAGGCCACAGCCCCTCTGTCTCCCTGCTCCCAGATCACTAGCCATTGTCTTTCTGTCCCATCCTGGAGTAGGAGTGGGGTGTTTGCTCTTGAGGAAGTGGCCCCGGAGCAAAGACCTCCACCTACTGACATGTGAGGGGTTCTCAACTGAAACACTGAGGGGTGTGCTGTTGCAGGCACCCTTACTTTGTGCACACATGCACATATGTACACATGCATGCAAAAAGCATACACGTGTACACATATGCACTCATGCACTCATGCACACACACAGACACACAAATATGCATTGTACCCAAGCATTCACACATGCACAGAAGGCACATGTACACATAGGGACATAACAAACAACACACTTGCAATGCACACATATACACATATACACGTGCACATACACATAAACACAGCTTCCCATCAGCATTTTAGTGTCTCACCCTCAAATACAGAAGGTGCACAGTGTGGCCTCCACCGTAGTGAATGATTTGGCCTCAAATCTCCAAGGTGGAGAAACTCTGATTGAAGGTACTTCCAACCGAGTGAGACTTTTTTCAGGCCTAATAAGTGACATGGAGCCCCTGGGTGGCACAAACGGTTAAGCATTTGGTGCCTAACTGAAAAGTTGATGGTTCAAACCAACCCAGGGGCACCATGGGAGACAGGCCTGGCCTGGCAATCTGCTTCTGAAAGGTCACAGCCTTTAAAAAACCCTATGGAGCAGTTCTACTCTGCACATGTGGGGTCACCATGAGTCACAATGGACTTGATGGCAAAGGGGTTTTTTTTTTTCCACCCTGCCTTCCCCATTTCCATCCCTCCAGTTTACCCGCCCCTCCTTGACTTCTCATCTTTGATTTTGGACAAATGTTTCCCGTTCAGTCTTGTATAGTTGATTGTTCTAAGGAGCACATTCCTCACAGGTGTTATTGTTTATTTTATAAGCCAATCTTATTTGGCTGAAAGGTGACCTCCAGGAATGGCTTCAGTTCCAGGTTAAAAGGATGTCTTAGGGTGATAGGCTTGGGGTTTCCTCCAGCCTCTATCAGTCCAGTAAGTCTGGTCTTTTTTATGAATTTGAGTTTTGTTCTACATTTTTCTCCCATTCTAACCAGGACCTTCTATCGTGTCCCTGGTCAGAGTGGTAGTGGTAGCCAGGCACCATCTAGTTCTTCTGGTCTCAGGCTAGAAGAGGCTGTGGTTCATGTGGGCCATTAGTCCTGTGGACTATTTGCTTACTTGAGTCTTTGGTTTTCTTCACTCTCCTTTGCTCTGGACAGGAAGAGACCGATCGTTGTATCTTAGATGGCCACTTGCAAGCTTTTAAGGCCCCAGATGCTACTCACCAAACTAGGATGTGGAACATTATCTTTATGAACTATGTTATGCCAAGACCGGTAGGCAGTACAGCAGGCAGCTGCTCAAGTCCCAAGAACCGGGGAACAGATGATGACATATCAGATGCAGGATCCAGAGCAAGAGAGCAAGCTTTGCCAGAACGTCCATATATATGTATTGTATGCAGGCCACAACCCTGAAAAACTCCCCTTACAAGTGATTGGCTGATCACATCAGATCACGTCATGGAAGATGACTATGTCATTACATAACTTCCAAACTACATCATTATATAACTGCCAAACTGCATCATTACATAACTGCCAAACCACTGAGAATCCATGGCCCAGCCAGGTTGACATACAACCTCAATCATCACACAAGACAAATTCATAACAGGCATTGCAGCTTCCGCCTTGCTATCTCTTGCATTGCTCACTCTGAGGGTAAGCTAGCCACCATGTTGTGAGGATACTTAATCAGCCTGATGGAAGGCCCAGGTGGTGAGGACCTGAGGCCTCCCACCAACCGCCAGAAGCAGATCCTCCAGCCTCAGTCAAGTTTGCAGATGACTATAGCACTGGCCAGCATCCTCATCAGGGACTTCAAATCAGTATGTCCAACTAAGTCACTCCTGCATTCATGACCCACAGAAGCTATGTGAGATAATAAATGTTGAGTATTGTTTTAAACCACTAAAGTTTTGGGCTTATTTTTTTTATAGAGCATCAGAAAACTAATAATGACTTGTAATTCTCAAAATCTTCTTTGTCCACAAATAATCATCATATCTTTTTCTAGACTGTTGTTATTAGGGGTCGTTGAGTCGCTTTCGACTCACAAGGACCCCACATGACAGAGTACACCTGCCCCATAGAGTTTTCTTGGCTGTACTCTTTATGGAAGCAGGTCACCAAGTCTTTCTCCTGCAGAGACGCTGTGTTGCTTCAAACCGCTTACCTTCTATTAGCAGCCAACTGCTTAACCGTTTGTGCCAGAAGGGTTTCTTTTTTTCTAGACTGTTATTAGATGCCATCAAGTCACTTCTGACTCATAGCGACCCTATGTACACAGAACAAAACACTGCCTGGTCCTGTGCCATCCTCACAATCGTTGCTGTTTGAGCCCACTGTTGCAGCCACTGTGTCAATCCATCTCCTTGAGGCTCTTCCTCTTTTTCGCTGACCCTCCACTTTACCAAGCATGATGTCCTTCTCCAGGGCCTGGTCCCTCCTAATAACATGTCCAAAGTACATCAGACTAAGTCTTGCCATCCTCGCTTCTAAGGAGCATTCTGGCTGTACTTCTCTCAAGAAAGATTTGTTCGTTCTTCTGGCAATGCATGGTATATTCAGTATTCTTTGCCAGCACCATAATTCATTGTCTTATTCATTGTCCAAATTTTGCAAGCATATGAGGCAATTGAAAATACTGTGGCTTCGATCAGGCGCACCTTAATCTTCAAAGTGACATCTTTGCTTTTTAACACTTTAAAGAGGTCTTCTGCAGCAGATTAGCTCAGTGCAATACGTTGTTTGATTTCTTGAGTGCCACTTCCGTGAGCACTGTCTTAGTCACCTAGTGCTGCTCTAACAGAAATACCACAAGTGGATGGCTTTAACAAAGAGAAATTTATTTCCTCACAGTAAAGTAGGCTAACGGTCCAAATTCAGGGCGTCAGCTCCAGGCGAAGGCTTTCTCTCTCTGTCGGCTCT